TTTCCTGACTAAGCAGTGCAGTGGTTATTGTTTCCACAGTCCTACTGGGAATAAAGATCTGCTCTATGAAGTAAAGTTTTTTTAATTTTTTTTATTAACTGGTCAGTAACCAAGTTTCATGGTAAAGAAGTATAAAAAAGTTTCTAGAAAATGCTGAAAATATTAGAGGGGAAAAAAAATTACTCTTTGGTTTGAGTAAATTTATTCTTTGGAGGAAGAAAGATCCAAACAAGTTGTTTGTTTTACTAGCTCTAAAATTGTTAACACATACATTATGGAGTTAATATTTAGAGTAGCTGCAGGTCAAAGCTTGTTATAATGTGCATGCAATGTGACTTGATTGTTGGTTTGTTTGACTGATGGCGGTGTCAGGCGTACAATTTTAGCATTTTCCCTTTAAATGTTCCACTGATCATTAAGGCATAACTGCAAATTAATAGAACTAACTTGGTTACAAATTATTTTGTTAATCCTAACAACCTAATCACAAAAACTTTAATGGCATTAATTGAGAAAAATGTTATATGTTGTTTTACAGCCTTTGCTTATTTCAGGTTCCCGCTGAATTCAGGTAACATTTTCTTGTGCATTGTTGATTTGGATGTGTGAATGTCTTAGTAAAGGACAAAGAAGACAGCAGACATTTCAGTATGAACAAAGTGGATTGGATAATCATGGGAACAACAAAAGCACACAAGATTTTTTTTTTTTTTTTTTTTTTTTTTTACAGAAGCAAAAAAAAAAAAAAGAACACCATCTTCTTAAAACAAGGTATTTTATTGAGAGATTGACCTTTTGACCCAAGACACTTTTTCCTTATTTTTGTGGAGGAACTTGCAAATTGCCAAGTGTCAGTTAAAATTTTGACATTTCAATAAGAGAGACCAATGAAAAAAAAAAAAAAAAAGTCTATTATATGGGAAATTCCTGCACAACCACAAACTACACTTGCCATCCACTGGAGACAAATATATATTTAGAAAAAAACACACAGGATGTAGGTGGTTGAAAATGGCTGATACATATTTGTTAATCAAATGATGCAGGTTGCTAATGTGGCTCAACTGCTTCTTTTATATTTTCCCCCCAAAAAGTACAACTTTAAGTATTATCTGGAGCGTGTTTCTGTTCTTCTGATACTTGTTGCATAAAGTGTAAACTTCATTATACTTAAAAAAAAACACAAACATTTATCTTTTCTTAACTGAGGCCTTTACAAAGGATTAGAGAGCCCACATTTGAATAAAAGGGCACAGCAATGAATCATACAGCACAAAATTGTAGTCATATATGTTCCTGTATCTGTAACACAGTTAAAAAACAAACAAACACACACAAAAAACCCCAACAACAGACACACACACACACACACACACACACACACACACACACAC